CTTATGGTTTCATTGATCTTTAGTATACTTTTATTATTCTATGTAATTTATTTCCACTCTGATTTTTATTATCTCCTTTCTTCTACTTACTCTGGGTTGTTGTTCTTTTTCTAGTTCTTTCACATATAGGATTAGATAGTCTATTAGAGATTATTCTTGTTTCTTGAGGTAGGCCTATAATTCTACCAACTTCCCTCTCAGAACTGCTTTCTCATTGTCTCATAGATGTTAGATTTTTATGTGTTCATTTTTATTGGTTCCCAGTAAGTTTTTTATTTCTTCATTGATCTCATTGGTAACCAATTCTTTATTTAATAACATGCTATTTAGCTTTCATGTGTTAAACATTTTTTAGTTTTTATTGTAATTGATTTCTAGTTTAATGCCATTGTGATCTGAGAAGATGCTTGATATGATTTCAGTTATTCTTGAATTTGTTAAGACTTATTTTGTGTTCTAACATGTGGTCTATCTTTGAATTTGTTTGACTTTTTCCTTCATTAGCTTAAGAAAGTTTTCTGTCATTATTTCTTCGGACAGGTTCTCTATTCCTTGCTTACTTTCTTCTCCTTCTGGTTCCCCTATGATGTGGATATTGTTGCATTTCATGTTGTCCCAATGTTTCCTTAAACTATTCTCATGATTTTTAAATTCATTTTTCTTTTTTGCTGCTGTGCTTGAGTGATTTTTTCCCTACCTTTTCTTCTAATTCGCTTGTTTAATCCTATTCTCTGCTTCAGCCAACCTATTCCTTCCTTCCAGTGTATTCTTGATGTCAGATATGTTATTCTTCACTTCTGGCTGGCTATTTTTCATGGTTTCTATGTTCTTTTTATGCTTTTGAGAATTTTTAGAACCATGAAATTGCTTGCTTCCATTTCATTTAGCTCTTTTTCTGGTATTCCTGAAGTTCTTTCATTTGGAGCCTGTTTCTTTGTCTACTCATATTGGCTGTCTCTTTGTGTTTGTTTCTACGTATTAAATAGAACTGCTATGGCTCCCAGTCTTGGTAGGATGGCCTTATGTATGTCAATGTAAGAAACATTTAAACCTGTGAAGAATTTTTTTTTAGTTTATTTGAACCAAACTGT